GCCAAGGGGACAATGGTCTGTATCTACTTTAAATTTAGCACCTCCGAGACAACGCTGCAACTGATCAATGGCCTACACAAGGCAAGCGATTCATTTCCTGAAGCGCAGTACGTTATCTCACGAGAGCCCTAATTTCTGGCTCAAGTAAAGTGCAGCTTTGCTTGTTACCACTGTCGTCCTGACATAGAACGGCAGTCTCCTTTTTTTCGTCGCTGACTGCTTTCATCGGTTCTGTCCCGCTGAGAGCACCGGTTCGGTTCCGGACTCAGCGAGCGCTGAGATTGCCCTAATGTCCGTTTTTGTTTACGTGTACCAATAATTGTCTACTACTGATACAGTAAGCTATCTAGCTTTCCTGAAAGCTTAACCTAAGCCTTGACCTAACGGGCTACCTCAATGATTAGGGAAAGCTTAAATGATCCGCTCATATGATCAATGATCAATTGTCTTCAAAGAAGACCAACAAAACAGAGACAAACACTTCTTTCTAGAATGTTCGCCCGGTTGAAGCAAACTGCCTTTGCTAATGCCTCTGAGTAAATCTCACTGGGCTCTCCTGAGCCTTCAATTACTCTCATTTCTAAGCACTACAAAATACACGGCGCTATCAACCAAACGCTTATTCCTTCGCAGTTTGTCTAACGACTTATTCTTACGTTACGTTGTAACGCACAGTGAACAACACAAAAGTAATCCTAGGTGCGATACTCATCAAATGCACCTCACAATAATGCACAAGTTTTATGCTAAAATCGTGCCCCACTGACATTCAATTCTTAATGTGTGCAACGACAACTCCACTGTGTCGCGCCAAACTTAATCAATTTATGAAATCACTTGGTCCATGTTAACTTCTTCCTCGAATGCTCGTTCACGCCACATCCCAATGGCAGTGAAGGCATACAATATTACACTAAACCTTTAAAAAAAACGAGAAAAATAACATATTTTCTCGGTTTTTACCTTATGGAAATTTTCGCACTTGTGATTAAACTGACTTCAATTTTCAGCCTTTAGTTCGGCGGTTTTCTTTTTGAAAAATTTACTCCGCATCAAACTTACCAAATTTAAAGTGGCTCAAATCTGCATCTTCAATGCAATATGAGTAGACACAATTAACACGCACGCACCAAAATTACTCAAACTGACCGCCCCCTTTTCTCAATTAGATTCGCTTGAATCGCACACGATGGGGCCGCGGTCCCGGCGGATTTCGAGCACGCCGGAGGCTACAAAACGTGCAACCGCTAGGCTGTGTTCGGCCGTCACGCCTCATTCTGCACTTCGGCCTGTTCTCCTCAGGAATTTGAAAGGGATGCCAGTAGCTCGGAGGGAGCCTGTGCCATTTTCTCTTTGTATTCACCCCTGCGCGGTATTTAGCCCCTCTGCGCTTTCGACTTTGATCCTTCGGGCAAGGCCGCTTTTCCGAAGTCGTCGAGCTGAACCGCGCGCTTCGTTGGGGTGACGCACCTCCCTTTCTCCCTCCACACCTGGCTCGCCGCTTGTGCTTCCACGAACAGCCCCATTGACGTTTCCTTAAACGTATTAGTGGCCTACCCTCTCGTCTTTCTTGTGACTGAGTGGGGCCTGTCCTAGGCTTGCGCAGTGACGAATGCCTCCGCTTCTTCCTTTTTCTGCGATGTTTGCAAACCAGCGCGGTATTATCGCTGCACTGCTGAAGCGTGGCGCTCTTGCTCTCATCAGCCACTGCGCTAACCATGCCTACATTTGACAATGTCGAAAGGTCCCCCTGAGGCACGAAGAAGGTTTCCAGCCTCTTACTGGGCCCATTAGGGCTGCTGGCACCCTCCTCATCCACGCAAGGAGCGTCTTCCGACATCGTCCCCACCTCCAGACCGGCCACGGCCTCGTTCTCTACATCATTTACATGGATGCATTCGAGAATATGCGGGCCCTTCTCTGGCGCGATCTCTGTTTCTAGCGCTTCATGACGCGCCACAACTTCCAGCGCTTTGTGACGCGCCTCACTTTCAGACTCCGGTCTGATTCTTTCTTTATTTTGGCTAACAGAAGTTCCGAATCTTCTGATTAGCTCTGATTTAACAACTTCGTAGTTGTTCGCGTGCTGCTCACTGAGTCGCGCAACAACATCCGCTGCCTCGCAGGGCAGAACCGTGCGTAGCTTCTGAGACCAGGTGTCTCGCTCACACTTCAGTTGACTACACTTCCGTTCAAAGAGTCTAAGATACAGGCCCATATCCCATGATACCTCATATGGCTGCATGTACCTAGACATCTCGAACTCTGCCTCATTTTCGAGAAGTACTTCTTGCTGGGGTCCCATTCTCATACGCAACTCATAGTCTTGATTGAAAAACTTTCTCTTGAGGCCTTCTCTTTCGTGTTCACTCTTTCCTTCCATCTGAGCTGCTCTTAGTTTTCTTTCGATGATGAGGTCCCATTCTTCACTTAGTTCCTCATCATCAGCCCCCAAATCATTAATCGCTTGAATGATTATGGGTTTTCGTGCCAAACCCTTTGTATCGATCCCCAATTCCTCACACAACAGCAACAAGTCTGACTTCTGCAGCTCCCGTAAGTCCATGATCGTACTGAGTGCTCGCTACTTCCAAAAATAACTTCCCGAAACGGCGAAACTGAGTCTTTCGGCAAAGTTAACTACCAGTTCTAAAATTTAACCCTCTTTTAGAACCTGGTTCACTCAAAGGAAAAGCCAAGCACTCACCCATACGTGATCCATGTCTCGAGCCAGCTGCTTCTCCTGGGCCGACTGTTGTTGTCACTTGTAGCTTCGAATCCCTCCGCTGCCAACCAGTTGTTGGGAATCCCACCGCTGCCACCAGTTGTTGCGGCTCGGGGTGCTGATTCGTATCCCACCGCTGCCACCAGTTGTCGGGAATCCCAGCTCTGATGACCCGTGTTGCTGGGGATCCCAGGGTGCTGTGGTAGCGTGGTGTAGCTTCGGGTTGAGGAAACGAGCGCTTACAAGATGGGGATACGAAAAACAAACAAGGTTTATGGCACTATTTACAAATATTTACAGCATGAGGTTAAGAGTTCACAAACCACGAGCGTGGTGGTTAAACCTTTACTTGGTTCAGAGCCTTCACAAACTACGAACGTGGTGGTTGAACCTTTAGTTGGTTCAGAGCCTTCACCAACTACGAACGTGGTGGTTGAACCTTTAGTTGGTCCAGAGCGACGTCCTGCACTCTGCGGCGCCGTTATAAGCCCTGTCGGGCTCCTCCTTCTTCAGTGGAACACCAATCACATACACACACAACAGGTGAGGGGTACGAGCATGCACGGCGCACGTGAACAGCCAATTTCGAGTAAAGATCACTGCACTTAAAGGTGGCGCCAGAGAGTCTCTTGCTCGTCGTGTATGTCGCTGGTCGAGGGGTTCCAAGCTTCGGACAGCAGACATCAAACGGTCCGCCAATTTGTCCGCTCAATTAGCAGGGCACTTTGTGGCGGCGGTCGCCGTTTCTACAAAGGAAGACGCTGTCTTTGTTGTCCCCTCTGGAACGGCTTACCGCTTCGTGGCGACGTGACGTCTCATCCGCCGGCTAGCCGGGACAATACCTGGCGGGCATAAGCATTCGGCGAGTCGGCTACTTGTTTGAGGGTTAAAAGAGCGCCGCTCCCCCGTCAGATCTCGACGCTGGTTCCAACAAAACCTGGGTTCCAGGCGTGGGAACGCGGCCCGGCTACGCTTCTCAGCGACAGCATGGCGCCTGCTGACGCCGGTCATAACAGTACCTTGGGGTGTTCCTGCGTTTTGCAATTAAGATGGTCAAGACTGAAAGTGTAAACGACAAGGAAAATCGTACCATGTTGTCTATTCATTTTATTTGCAGCACTCCCATACGCATACTCTCTTTAAACCATCAAAATTTTATTTGTGATATTAACATGACCTGTGTTGCTGCCTTCTCACAACGAGGCTGGACGGGGATGGGCGATAAGAAAGGTCGTACCGGTGCCGCTAATCTGTTGATATATAGTATATGTATATATTTCTCTGAAACTTATAGTCATCGCTTCAAGTCGTCATCGATCATTTGAATAGATTGCTGAGAGTTCTTATTGCTCGGTCATGTGAGCTTTCGATACATTTTATCATTTCAGGGTTTCAGTAGAATATTGCCAATGTTTTAAAAAAGAAAAATTCATATAGTTTAGAGTACACTAACTTGGCAATAGAAAGAAAGCGGTAAAATAAAGTATACATTCATTGCGAACAAAACTGGTCTGTTACACACTTCATAGATTTGATATATCTACTAGTCACTAATGGGTCTAATGAATCACATTTTGGTTTGTTGAGTATTATGACTAGTGTAGAAAGATATCGTATTTACTGGAATTTGTCGATATTTATTCATATAGTATTCTCCGATACATATGCACCCTCTTTTACGTTGTACATTGCTGGTGTTTTGTCCCCCTGCAAATGTTCTTTTTTTATTTTTGAGGTAAACCGATGGCGTGTTTCTTGTAAAGATATATATATATATATATATATATATATATATATATATATATATATATATATATATATATATATATATAAGGGAAAGAAGTGTACACGTAAGGGCTCGGGTTTTCGGTATTTTGACACAACATTAATTAAATCTAACAGACAATACTGCCAAGGAAAGTATAGGGCAGGTTATTAGACCGAACCGAATTGTCAGGTAAATGTGCAGAAAGAAACGTGGGTGAAAAGATAACTTGCCGTGGGCAGGAACCGAACCGAAAAGCGAACCGAACCGAAAAGGCAAATAATGTTTTTGGGTTGTAGCTTACTTCTGATAAAATGGTTCGCTGGCGCACACGTTTATGTCGTTCATTTCTTGTCGGCGCAGGATGAAGTTCAAAGTCTCTCAAACGCTGTCGACCATGCAGTTCCGGTGATGACGACCTGTGTCCCACAGACTGTTCAACGTCAATGTCTTAACAGCAACCGGTAAAAAAGACCTTCTCTTCGAGGCATGCGATCCAGCGCTGAGCGCAGGGTGGTCTAGGCTGCATCGGCCATCCGCAAACGCATTAGCGCCATCGTTGTGCATAGGGGCAGCCATGTTCCAAAACCTAGCCATGCACCTGCCTTCGTACCAGGACGGCTCGAGCGCTACGTCTGCGGCCTTTCTGCACCCGGGACCACCAGTGTACGTGCCGGGCACCAGGCCGCTTGTACCCGTGCCGCACCAGTACATGCATCACCACCAGGTAAGGAGGACACGTCACACCTCTGGGCAGGAAGCTCTGCTGTAGATCGGGGATCTCAAAAACGCCTCAACCAGCAAGCGGCAATAGTTTTTGTTTCACGGTTACGTTTCAACACATGGTGTCCAACATGGGGTGCTTCACTAAAACAATGCTTTAGACCATGCAGCCATGTCTGTGTAGCTCGGGAACCTACTTATCGAGAAAAAAATTTTTTTTAACTGGGGGTGAAGACAGATATGTGTAGTTCGCAAGTGAGGCGCTCGTGGGCCACGTGTTGGAAACTCCTGCAGTTGAGCTATGAATAAGACCCGCACACTTAGACTTTGATGCACGTTGAATAGGACCAGGTTGTCGCCAGGTTGAACATCTCAAAGGGGCGGGTTCGCAGAAGTTCGCAGGCTACTATTGCACGTATTTCTATGGAAGCGTGACCTGTGGACTTTTGACCACTCCTGTATATATGCTGCACAGAATGTAGTGTGCAGCAGTGCAACACGATTGTGTCCCCGTTTCACACCTGCTGCAGATGTCGTCCATGGGCGGTGTGGCGACGTCGTCGGCGTCTTCCCCCGCGGCCCCGTCGGTGGCGGTGAGCTCCATGGCGGCGGCCTCCATGCCCGCGGCGCCTGTGTCGCCTGCCGTGGCGCCCCCTCCTCCGACGTCGTCTCCGGCCAGGGGCCACCACCACCACCATCACCACCACCACAACCCCGCGACGCCTCAGCCGCCGCCTCATCAGCACTCGCCCTCGGCCGCCTCGGTGCAGGGCCACAGTGGCCACCTGGGCGGCGTGTGGGGACAAGCAGTGCGCGGGTCTCCCGACACGGCGGCCGCGGCGGCTGCAGCGGCAGCAGCGGCCGCGGCCCAGTACTCGAGCCCTTCGCCGGCGCATGGGCACCTGGCGGCGCACCACGCGAGGTTTGCCTTCCAGGTGAGAAACACGCGTTGGACGTAATATAGACGGCTTCCATTGGCATCATGGAAATCGCCATGGTATTCCCGTTGGCGTTCTCGGTGTCCTAACATCGTGCCGGTGCCAGCATTCCCAACGCTTTGTGTGTGTCAAATGCAAATGCATTTCTTAGTCGGGCTATGTCAGGCATCCGGCGGCGGCGGCGGCTGCGCGCCAGCAGGTGTGATCTCTCCGCTCTCACTCCCTCTCCCATTGTAACAGCGGCCGGAGCGCGCGCTTATCCTCGCCCCTTGCAACAGGAGCATGTGGTGCGATAGAGTGTAGGAGAAAGTAGGTGCAGTGCTTCACCGCTCCTTCTCTCGCCATTCGCTCTCTCTCCTCCGTACGCCCCACTCTCCCGTCAACTCGCGCGTCACTGTCGACAATTCGCTGACTGGGCCCCTCTCAAGGCGATGGCAGAATTCGGTGAAGGCGAATGTCTAACAGCAACGGTGCCCTCTCTCGGCGAAAGAATTGCATTAGCATTTCCTCCCGATTCCATTCGGAGAGATGGGGGCATTTTTGGTGCATCGTCCTTTAGAGCAGTTGCAGCGATTCAATGCTGTGTATCGTGGTAAGGATACATGGTACATGCTAGCCTCTCAAACCATGCCCGTATATAGGGATGAATTCCACAGAAACAGGCTGTAGACAATACAGAGAATGTCGAAACGACACAACATCATTTGCGTGCACGATCTGGCATGGGAATATAATGCGGATGTAATATTGCGTGCGCATCACGTGTTGATGTGTCTGCGTCGTGTGAGCGTACTTCTCTCAGTTGCTCTGATACCGGAAAGGGCAAGCGAGGAATTTGGCTCGCAATGTCTACACATGGTGAATGGCAAAGTTTTCAAGCTCACATTCTCGCATCATGCTTTCGGCGCCTTGTAATGAGCCAATTAAAAAACTCTAGCGGTGCAAAGCTTTTCATTGGGTACGCAATAACTTATATTGTGTAAGTAAAATTTCTCGTGTCATTTTGTGAATCACTGTTAAAGAAGTAAGTGACACACAAAACAAAAACTATGTGGACATGTTTTATCTCTATCTAAACTGTACTTTCCATTGATGGCACTCCACGATTTTGAATTCGTTCTCCATCGTCCTGCGGCTGCACAGAAGCACATCCTTGTCTATACGCATGCGAGCAGGTGCCGGGGGGCATAGAGTTTCCTAAACAAAAGGGGACTCTGGCGCTGCGGTCGTTCAGCGACCACGGGAATTATGGGTATGTCATGGACATATGGTAACAGCCGGATGCCTCATCAAAGGCAAAAAAAAATCATCACCGTGACTTGATGAGATCAGCATATGGCGTAATAATGGCGTCACAAATCACAAGAATCGTAACGTCATCGCATTGCATCGTCGCACTGTCAATGCTGAAGCAAACACGGAGGCATTGCAAAAGAGGGTGAGGTGCAAAGAGCTCGTTGTGCCTCCGGTCTCGGAGGCCATGCTCAACTAGGTTATGTTGAGGGCTTTCCAGAGGGGGATACGGATGATCAATACATAGAGTGAGAAGGAAGAAGAAGGCTTTCGGCTTCAGGTTGTCTCAGGACTAAGTACTCATAAAGGGACTCGTGAGTTTTTCTAAGGTATATAGCAATGGCTCTCCTGCTCCTCTTCAGATTCCCTTTTTACCTACGCAGGATAGTTAACTAAGCTCAGGCTGGTTAAACTTTCCCGCCTGTCCCAACTTCGGTTCCCCAACCTCCCTCACTCCAACACCTCAGTGCGTGTATCACAGAGCAACGATCGATACACCAAGCGGATGAGTTATGCGCAGTGATTATGTAGCACCCGCGGAAATGCTTAATCACTGTCTCCACGCTTATCGCTTTGCGCACGAGAGGAGCCCGGAAGCTAATTGCGCGTGTCCAAGCCCCGCCCCTCACACGACGCGTCACGCATCCCGCACAACGAGATAAGGGACGCTTATATTTGTGTTTTTTTTTTTTCATTTTGTTTTTTTTTCTTTTTCCCGTGCAGCATCCCCAAACGATTCAGAAGATTAGCGAAAGCGGCAAAGAACGTGACCAAGCTGCCACACCCCGTATGCATGCGCGAATGCAGAGCTTACAGTACATACAGCGGCAAGAACAGCAGTGTAGCGAGCAGTGGCATTGAACTGTCTACGTGAGGTTTTTCTCCACGGTCATTCGGAGGTTCGTAAGCGAAACATCTGCGGAAAGCGTTTCGATCTTAGCAACAGATCAAAAGAGCCACGACGGCAACGAAGATACGACGCGCGCTGAATTGAATTAAACGCGAAGCAGCCGCCGCCGGACTATTAATCTCACCGAGGATGTTCAAAGGAACCGTCCGTCGGAGTATCCGTTCCGGAGGTCCCACACGCATAGATGCGTTCTCAGGGCTTCTGTCATGGAGCAGATACGGGTTTTCCAACCTGAACAGCGTCTCCAGGGCTCAAATTTCAATGCCATGTATATACCAACGCGTGCACGTCAACTGGCGCTCGACACATATGCCGCTATACATGATTGAAACATCAGCTTAAGCTATAATTGTTTCATCTGATGATGATGCTTCTGTCATAACTGTTCAACTACAATTCTTTCCGGGTTTATACACGTGGAGCCTACAACAATTGCTTCGTAGAGGCACACATCTAACCGGGACATTATATTCAAACCGGCCATGATGGTCTAGTAGTGTCGGTGCTCGACGGCCTATACAAAGGTCGAAGGATCGAATACCGGTAGCACGACATCATATTTCAATGGAGGCGGAAACCTAGAGGTCCGTGTACTTGGATTTAGGTGCACAGTATTCAACACCAGTTGGACTAAATTTCCAGGACCTTCCTAAGGCTTTCCACATAACCATATTGTGGTTACTGGGCGTGAAATCCCACCAATCACTATTTATTTACAAGGGCTTAATTTGATGTAGACAAACGCTCCTCCACTGCATATGCCGTTATAGTTGTAATGAAGGTCGAGGTCGCGGGTTCGATTCCATACGGAGGTGCACTTAGAGGTGAAATGCGCTTTTATAATGCGAAATGCAAGAGCCTCGGGGTACTTTTTAGGTGGACGTTAATGAACGCTAGGTGGTCGGAATTAATACGCTGTACCACACTGCGGCGTGCTACATCACATCGTGGGTTTCGCAGGTAAAACCCTAGAATTATTTATTTCGTTTTTAGGTTCACAAAACAATGCCCTGGCGTTTTCCACTCACTTTAGGTAGCGGTATATACGAGGCTGTTCCCGATTACATGAGCGAGCGTTACTCGTCAATAGTTTGTCTCTGGTGCCTCCTGTAGCCATGATACGAACAGATTCAAGATATGCAACATAGTGGAGACATCGACGACGATAAATCTTAATGCTCGAGCAAGTGACTTACGTTCGCTGGAAATGGGCCGCCTCCTAATTCCCGGACGTTGCAGGGTTTAGCCATCCTCAGAGTCTTTCGGGCGCTCTCCTAGGTTTTGAAAGAGAAAAAGAAGAGAGTGTTCTATTTTTTTTTTCAACTGGCATTGTGCACACCCCAGTTTGGTCTTTGCAAGACCGCGAGACTCATGCGGTGCACGAGGCAAATATTTTTGCAACAAGTATAATGCGAATAACGCAAAAAGCACATAAATTCTAACCACGTCCTAAATACGGGAGATGGATCTTAATTCAGTTGCTTAGAACACAAGTGCGTTTATACTCGCGTGGCGTTGTGAGGCAGAGAGTGTAGCATAATTTCTAGATCAACATCACGTCAAGCCCTCTGCCACTTCTTGAGGTCATCTCTCCGTCTCTCTTTACGACTTACTCTGCCTTTGTATAGACACAACAAATGTTTTTGCGGCACGGTTGTATTCGCTGCCGGCCGGCTCAATCGATGCGTGCTCGAATGTTTGTCCGGCGTCCAATACGCAGGGTGCATCGGGCGTGGCAGCGGCGTCATGTCGTGAAGGCGCCTCCGCCTATCTCAGCCGGGCGGCCAACGGTCTGGGTTCGTACGCCTACATGGGCACCGAGGTGACGCCCTGGGTCGGCGTTGAGTCCAGCCTGTCCTCCATCCAGGGCGCAGCATCACCCTTCGCAAGAATCACTGGTGAGGACGTCCCACCGCTCACTTACTCACTCACTCACTTGCTCGTATATGTTTCTATTTTTTTTTCTCTTCTTCTCGTGTATGGGAAGAGCACCAATGTAGTATTGTTGTACTCGCTATTTTAGGTGTTCCGCTGTTGTGCGTATCGTCCCTCAAAGTATTGTATTTCCTCAACTTTGTATCTAATTGGTTACCTGTGATGTTGTATGCCCGCTTCCTGTATCTGCAGAAGACCTACAGTATTGGTAAATAAATAAATAAATAAATAAATAAATAAATAAATAAATAAATAAATAAATATGTGTCGTCGCGTTGAATATATGTGTGTAGGTGAGGGAAATGGACAACGACTCGCTCCTACCACACGGCCACAAGGAAATCGATACGGACCGTCCTGGTCCCGGGTTAGGTACCCGGACAATGACGAATTTTTCTTCAGCTAAATAGCTATCCTTTCTGAGAAATTCACATGAATTTTATGCCTTCGTGGTAGAAACCAATGGTTGCCAAGTTCTTTTCCTTAACCCTTCGCCACCTTGCGGGATTTCTTAGAACATACTCGCAAGATCCTGTGTCTGTATACGAAGCGCTTGCGCTGTTTCCATGTGATATTTTGCACAGAGCAACGACGTCTTCCGATCATCGATGGAGAGGTAAAAATTTTTTTTTTATGAAAAGGTGCACGTTTTCAGCTCAGGTGTGGGCAGCCGTGCGTGGCTGTGCGCCCCTGAATTGGAATGCGTCCGGGTGACATTTTTGTGGGAAGGGATTGCGTTTACGTGGCTATTTGATTGTGGCGTGACACAGAACAGAAGCAGAGTGGCGAGAATCGCGAAATCCCGATATAGGCTCTAGCGCTTAGTGTTGATTTTGTTCACATGTATTCAAGAAATAAGGGGAGAGGAGGATGCATCGTGTGTATGAAGGAGAGGAGAAAATCGCCCCCTCGTTTTTTCGCGTGGGGTGGTGAGTGGCCCTTTAAAGGACAACAAAAAAGTGATGCACCACAGTTGTGTGCGCAGCGTAAAACATCTGCTAAAGTAAGCTATACGCCGAAACAGATGCTTATGTGTCTGGAGGACCCAGTCAGTGAAGTGCATGATACAGGGGTGTACAATAGTTTCCAGGCCATGCTGCCATAAGTGTACATGGCATAGTAGCCTGAAATATTTGGACACCCCCCCCCCCCCCCCCTTGCACATTAGCTGTCGAAGAACAGTGTAAGGAGATGTTCTTAGCAAATGAAAGCTTCTGTTATACTCAGAGCGCGTTATCTGTAGGAAAGAGATGCGGAACGTTTTCTAGAGCGAACTTTAATCCCTAAATTATTTGTTAAAATATAACTGCCCTTCGCAAGGTAGGTATATTGTACAAGCACATATTATACATGGGATGCAACAGAACTCATGAATTTAAAGGAGAAGATGACTACACACGAAAAAGGACTGACTTTGTGTATTGATTGACTTGAGAATAAATGTCTGTTAAACCAATCAATGTGAGCAATCTTGTTTGTTCTTTATTATCGATCTGCCCCATGTCATATATATATATATATATATATATATATATATATATATATATATATATATATATATATATATATATATATATATATATATATATATATGAGATTTAAGAGACAATAATGCCAAATGGAATGTAAATAAGAAGAAAGAAAAGTGGGTGAAGAAATAACCAGCCATGAGAGCAGGTTCCTGCTCACGGCTGGTTATTTCTCCAAGTGCAATATCTAGTGCAATATTTCATTACGTTAAACTGTGAAAAAAAAATTTCATTTGTACAATTAATAACTCACTGCAACCCACCTCTCCGTTTTTTTGTTTTTTTTTGTTTTATTCCGTTTATTCCGGGGCCCGCGACGTCGCAAGAACATCTCCCTACAGTGCACTGTCTTCTTGGAGAATTACGCATATGGAGTCACCATTAGAACACAGCCTTACTTGACAGCCGCCGGACGTTTACTACTGTGGTTCCGTGCAGCGTTCCAACCACCTCGAAAGACCGGTATCGCCAGCGCGGCTCACAGGTTCGAGCCAATGTCACACCTCCCCTGTAGTATCAGCTTCAGAAAAGCCGCAATTTATTTATTTATTTATTTATTTATTTATTTATTTTTAACGTTCCTCTCATGCCATGAACGCCTTGGACGTGTCCGATACCGGCTGATCCGATTTGCGTTCGGACGAACGCCCACGTGTTGCGGTTCTCAGACGCTCGCACCGCATCGCCCAACTGGCTCATTTGCATACCGGAGCCATTTATCCGCGCCCCAAAAAAAGAAAACGGTGCACGGCTTCTCGGCAGGAGACACGTATTCCGTCACACGACTTCTCGAGGATGAGTGGAAAAGCCGTACGAACGAGCTTGTTTCACGCTGATTAACGCGGTCAGCGGAAGCTGCTTCGGCCGCCTTGTACCGTATACACCCGTGTAATGACCGCAGGTTTCTTTTTTGCGAGGTTGTGGTTCGAAATCGAGCATGCCGCCATCACATGGACAAAAAGACACAACTTTATTTCTTTCTGCAATAGTTTTCAGCAACGAAGACCTATAGGCACTTTATATGAACTGTAACACTCGTTGGCATTGGGAGAATAAAAAAAAGAACCTTTGTCAATTCCAAAATTGCGAAAAAAAAACAAAAAAAAACGTTATTCCTCGCGCTTGCCTTCTAAACTCGTCCTCTTGACTTATTCCTCGAGATTGCCCCCGAGCTCGCTTTTGTCCGAGATAAGGTCACTGCTCTCTGTTCTATCGGGTTCGTTTGATGTTCTGTGACCGTGAAACTTTTCCCCAGCATGTCGAAGCAAACGCCATTCCTCGCTTCGTGAAATCCAGTGGTACACATCTACAAGGGATGCTCTCTTCATTCGAGTCCACGCAGACGGAGCTGTTTTGTGGAGCCGCTTAATCTCGGAGGCCGTCCGTGCTTTCGCTACCTGGTGGCTGTAAATCTAGGCACGGCTGTCTTCCGCTGCCCCCGAAAAAAAAATGGGGGGGGGGGGGGGGGGGGCACGCCGTAGCATGCTTTATATTGCGCAAGGCTTGAAACAGCGAGACTGGACGATTCTTAACTTTTAATCTGGCTGCTGCTCGGTATACGCTTTAAATGGGTGAGTTAAACCACAGGAAGTCACAGACACGATGCGACCGTCTAAATTCCAGAGGCGAAACTCGTGCTGAAACCGAGCGCACAGATATACGGGAACGTCGTCATTGGCGTAAGACTTCCATGGCTTCCGGGTTTTCTCCCAGCCACCTTTGCATTTTCTGTTCGCTCTTTGTACTTACTCAACGTCTCGCCTTGGTCGCCTCACAACCTTTTCTTGTTTAGAGGACCAGTGTTCAGTAGTGTAGTGGGATTTGCCCAATTTTTTTTTCCGTGCCACATATCTGTTTATGATGATTACAGTTTTCTTTTTCGACTCGACCTTTAGCAGTTTCGTTAAACCAAACATACAAGACAAGGCAAAAACTTCAGAATGATCATTCAGCGGGACAGATAACACTAACAACCTTCTCAAAAGTGCAAGTCTGTTGCATTCAAGAAGTTCAGCGCCACCTTCGCAGTACGTCTCTCTCTCTTTCTCTATCTTTAATATTAACCCTCCCCCCACCCCCCATTTCCCCCGTGCAGGTTGGGTGTTTACAGAAAGCTGTTGACGATTAAGTACTTGGTACTCTACTACGGTAGAGCATAGAAGCCGCCCCGTGGGTCTCACATTTCATGAGGCCGTGTCGACAAAAACTACGCCGTGAACGAGTTACGCGGGCAGGTATATGAACGATAAGCTGCGTAAATAGTCCGGCATACCAGTTCTCCTCGGCTGGTTAACATCGCTGCCTTTCCTTTCCTTCTTTCTAAAAAAAAAATTGAGAAGTAAGGGATGCTGCTAGTGCACGCGTAATTTCTTTAACAAAGTTCGAGGTGCGGCCATTAAGCTTGCACATACGGTATATGTCCACAGGTCGACCGACGAGGAAGCGACGCCTGCAGGCGACTTTCAAAAAAACGACCGACGCCATTTCGCTGAGAATAAACACCATATCTTTACTTCTAATCTTTAAGCACGGTCAGACGGAAAGCACCGGCAGAGATAAAGCTCGAAGACATCGTGGTCACGCTGCTCATTGCTTCTCCAAAAGGATCTGCCGAAGCAGGCGTCCTCCTTTCAAAATATTACTTATAATACAAAGTATATACACACACTATATACAACCACACGCGAGGCAGTGCGTCACTGCAGATTAAAGTAACGAAAAGAGAGGAGGTTGTTCTCGGAGCGAACGGGTTGGCAGTGCGCGTATATATCAAAATGTGAAACGGGTTAGGAGGAACGTCACCCTCCCACTTGCCCATCCTTTGACACTGCCTAATACGCCCTTGAACTCGATCGGATTAGCCGTTCCGTGCACGGCGCTGGCCGGGCTATATAATGTGGTTTGGGAATGAAGCCACTTCCGTGCAGGTACAGGGACGTGACCCGGGATTTTGGGACGACGTACCGTCGCGCCATATGTGAGTTGCAACGTGTTCCCTGCAGGGACAGAGAGGAGCCACCACACCACGGTAGCGCCGACGTAGAAAACAATCACTTACTTAGACACTATTCCCCACTACTGAAATTTTCAGACTAAGTTGACGTTTGTCGGTGTTACAGTGAAGGCTTGTGGTGTCTTAATGACGGCCACCGTGTTCCAAATGTACAGGTATGCATGTGCTTGCTGTTCACACAGGCAAGCGCCACTGCACATGTGTGCACGTGCTTCGAAAAGATGCGCGAGAACAAGTAATAAACACGTCGCAACGCCGTTAATTCTATATACGGGAAATGCTGCCGGTGCAGGATTTCTTTGTTGTTTCATTTCTGATTTGATTGATTTGTGGGGTTTAACGTCCCACCATATGAGATACGCCGTAGTGGAGGGCTCCAGAAATTTCGACCACCTGGTGTTCTTTAGTGTGCACCTAAATC